GGGTCGGGGCTGGGGTGGCCAGGAGCGGCCACTGCACTCCAGTCTGGGCAACCGAGTGAGACTCCAACTCAAAAAAAAAAAACATTCATCAAGTGTACTTTTAGACTTGAGAAGAGAATATTTTCTGCTAAAATCTTGCCTACTAGAGATAATCACCTGTGAATTAATACACTGCAGGAACAGAACTAGCCAGCTTTTTTGGTGGTCATTCCCTTTCTTCCTCCTAAGGGCTAAAAATAAGAGGACCATTTAAAAAGTTTTATAAAAGATGGTGCCGTTTTCAGATAACATTTCCATTTAAGATCAGATATCCAGATACTGCTTTATACACAGAACGGTTAATTTTAGGCCGTGGAAAGAATCTCCTGTTGGGTTTTCAGGAATGAACAGAATAAAAACGGAAACGTTATTCCTGGACACTTTTCCCTCATACTGTGGCTCAACCAAAGCGAGTATGAACGCAAGGAGACCCGAGTCAGTTTCAGGTGTCCGTTCTTCTGGGAAGTGTGAATCTATGGTTTTAAAGCTTGCAGACACACACTATGTCCCGACAGCAAATGCCATGGAACAACCTCTGTTGTGCTCTTTATCTAAAGGGCATGTCAAAGGAAATGGTAGCAGTTTTTGTACTGCCAGTGGTAAACCCAGCCTCCCAGGAGACCTGTGGTCCCAAATGTATAGGAGCTCATGTAGAAACAGATGTCTGGGGGATGGAGAAACCCCAAATTATGTGATCTTAGGCTAGTTTCACGTTTTCTTTAGTCATTTCATTTTTATACAAATTTCTAAAAAAATGTTAGTAAAGTTTTAACTTTAACTTTATAGTCAATTATAATGAGAAAAGACTTTTCAAAGGCCCAGGAAAAAAAAGTTCAAATACTTCAAAGAGTACTTCAAAAGCCAGTTTTCCTCCAGTCTCCATTTCCTTGGTTGCCTAGTTTGTTTCCTGGAGTCAGCTAGTGTCTCCTGTTGTGTGTGTGTGTGTGTGTCTGTCTGTCTGTCTTCACACTTACACTAGCATATTATCCCATAGTTCTGCACCTTGGGTGCTCCCCCGCCTTTTTTTTCCGAATGGGGGTCTTACTCTGTGGCCCAGGCTGGAGTGCAGTGGCACGCTCATGGCCACCGCAGCCTCGACCTCCTGGGTTCAGGTGATCCTTCTGCCTCGGCCTTCCAAGTTGCTGCACACACCACCGTGCCTGGCTAAGTTTTTGATTTATTGTAGAGATGAGGTCTCACTGAGTTGTCCAGGCTGGTCTCGAATCGCTGGGCTCAGGCAATCCTCTTGCCTCAGCCTCCCAAAGTGCTGGGATTATAGGCAAGTGCCACTGCGCCCGGTACTTTTTTCACTTGCATATCCACACATATAGAGCAGCGTCATTCTTTTTTTTTTTTTTTGGGAGTGATCTCACTTTGTTGCCCAGACTAGAGTATAGTGGCAGGATCATGGCTCACAGCAGCCTCAACCTCATCAGCTCAAGTGATTCTTCTGCCTCAGCCTCCTGAGTAGCTGGAACAAGCGCCTGCCACCATGCCTGGCTGATTTTTTATTTTTTTGTAGAGATGGGGGTCTCACTTTGTTACCTAGGCTGGTCTCAAACTCCTGGCTTTAAGTGATCCTCCCACCTCGGCCTCCCAAAGTGCTGGGATTATAGGCATCAGCCACTGCACCCGGCTGGAGCAACCTCATTCTTTTAAAAAATTGCCTAAGAGCTTAACATATTAATATACCATAATTAGTTTATTTACTAGTTCCCATCTGATGGATAGATAGGCTGTTACCAGTGTTTTGCTAGTACACACAATACTGGAGTGAATAAATATCCTTAGTCATGCTCTGTCATGCACTCTTAATTTTTAAAAGTTGCACAACAAGTAGGAAGTAGACTGATTAAATTAAAAGAAACTTGAGTGCTTGAAACTTGATATTGAAGGCACATGCGAGTCTGCCGGTGCACCCACACACACGTGTGCACGCACACACACACATATAGCCCAATTGCACTTGCATATCTAAAGTTATAATCTGTACATTCTAAAGCAAATTTACTTATAGCTGAATAAAATACCTTAGTTTCCAGATTTCTCATAAATCAGGGAAGTAAATTTTTCTAGAGTCACATTCTGGGGTTTTTCCAATGATATTTGAGTATTTGCCCATTGCAAAGTGCATTACTAGCTTATAGAGAATCACAGATGTGTCTGAAGGATGGAAATAGCACTAGGAATGCTAGGTAAGTTCCAAAGACCAGAAGATGATTTACAGAGTCACAAGAAGGCCCTACTAATAAATAATTTACTCAGAATATTTCATTTCAAGCCATAACTCTGTGGTTCATATAGCCTTTATTTTCAGTCTTTAAAATATAAAAATAAAAAGCAAAGCCAGGCATGGTTACATGCGCCTGCAGTTCCAGGTACTCAGGAGGCTCTGAGGCGGGAGGATTGCTTGAGGTCAGGGGTTCTAGACCAGTTTGGGCAACATAGTGAGACCCCATCTTTTTAAACAATAAAAAAGCAGATCCTTTTCCTCCTTCTTCTTTCTTCTTCTTTTTTTTTTTTTTTTTTTGAGTTGGAGTCTCACTCTGTCGCCCAGACTGGAGTGCAGTGGCTGCTCCCGGTCACCGCAGCCTCAACCTGCTGGGCTCCGGCGATCCTTCTGCCTCAGCCTTCCAAGTAGCCGGAATTACAGGCGTGCGCTACCACGCCGGGCTGATTTTTTGATTTATTGTAGAGATGAGGTCTCGCTGCCCAGGCGGGTCTCGAACCTGCGGGCTCAGGCAATCCACTCACCTCAGCCTCTCAAAGGTACGGGATTACAGGCTGAGCCACTGAGCCCGGCTAGAATAATACTTTTTATAAGCTCTTTGTATTTCTAGAGCTGTGATATAATTAGTGACATAGTTAAATACATTCAGAAATAAATGTTTTATTTGGGGTCCTATGTTTTTCTTTTTTTCTTTTGAGTCAGAGTCTCACTATGCTCCCCAGGCTGGAGTGGAGTGGCATGCTCACGGCCACCACAGCCTTGACTTGCTGGGCTCTGGTGATCCTTCCTCCTCAGTCTTCCAAGTAACTGGAAC